CTACAAAACGAAAAGTGTCTTGGCTCTGACGAAAGTTTGACGAAGTTACAGACAAAATATCACTCATAACTCTTTTTCGCAGTTTTTCGATGAACCTCTTTTTGTAAATTCTATAACTCAGTCAAAATAACGTCTGGAAGGCTAATAATTTTTTCATAACCTTAGTTTTGATTGTAGAATCCAAAAATATAATAAAAAGTATATGTTAAAAAATTTCACGTTACGGCTCTTTTGAGGTATGCTTGATGCTTTGACGAAGCGTCTCTTAAGTGCATTAAACATTTCTCTACAAAACGAAAAGTGTCTTGGCTCTGAATATTGATTAGTTATGAAAATACAGCGTACAAACAGCTTCAAAATCGATTTTATAATGTAGAATTATGTAGTTGCAATTTTAGATTAGTTTGTAGCTTTATTGCAATAATCTTTTGAAAAAGAGCGAAAAAGGATACCGTTAGCTGGACAAGCCGTATGATTTTAGTCAAACAGGGCAAAAAAAGAAATGTTTATAAATAGTGATTTTTCTGTCCATGAAGAAGTCAAATTGTAGCTTCGAGCTGAAGACTATTCAAACTAAGCGTAGAGTTAAGAAAATAAGGTCTTCATATGGTTGTTTGTGATAGATATTAAGAGTACACCATCTTAATCGAAATCATCTGATTTCAACTGGCATAGAAATTTTCTAAACATATCTGACTAGTCTATACAAAGCAGTACCGAAATCCTTCTGTGTGATTCAGTTTTTATATTAAAGCTGAATAGCAATTTGAATCACACGATTTTGATCTATGACGTACATTGTCATTGTCTATCGTAAACAATCCTATGCAGGCCTAATTTTCTCAAATCTGCGCTTGAGGGAATCACTCGAAGTGATATCCACCATTGGAGCTCTTCTTAGGCCCACAGAGAGATCTCAGTGAGACTATCAAAAGCCTAAAAGAATTCGTCATCATGGATCTTTGAAGCCGAGTTATGACTAAATTTTCAGATATTCATCGTAAAACCAAATGACGAAGGTTCGAGCTGAAATTTTGCTCATAGATAGGCCCAATGACTCTACGAATATCCTGAAAGTCTCAACCAAGAAGAATGTTCCTTTATCAAAATATTAAATTCGAAAAACAAAATAGCTTGCCACAGGTATATCACAAAATCAACTTTATCAGCCGATTCAGTATCTCGACAAACGAACATTCTTCTTGGCTGAAACTTTCAAGATATTTCTAGAGTCATTTGGCCTATCTATGAGCAAAACTTTGTCATTTAGTTTTACGATGAATACCTGAAAAGGGCGGGAGACGATAAGCGGCAAAATCGGCCCACGCTCAAATCTATCTTATGTTAACTCATCTGATGCAGTTTTTGTCCACGATTAACGCTAACATATTTTTAAATCTTAAAAATCCTCCCCAATGACCCTGGAAACCTTTTAGCAAAAAAACTCTTCTCTCGTTAAGCGACGTTTTCTCAAAGTATTTACATTAATCAACCTGTTTCACCCAGAGCAAATATCAACTGGTATACACCGTTCGATACAGAATTTCACGAGCTACAAAATGACATATGAGATAGCCTTAAGATAATCTAATTGGGTAGTATAACACCCGAAATACTCGATAGAATCTCAGGAAACCGGTAGATCGACGTCGTTCATGTTTATAGTATCCATTGATTTTGCCGTTAACCACTCCACTTTATATGTCATTCGATAGAGAATTTCACGGGTTTCAAAATGATATTTTTATATTGTCTTAAGAAAATGTAACTGGATAGTCTTAAATCCGAAATACTCGGTAGTTTCCCAGGAAACCGGTAGGTCAACGTCGCTCATATTTATAACGGTGGCTAATTTTCTCGTTGACCACTCTACTTTATACAGCATTCAATAGAAAATTTCACGGGCTACAGAATGATATATAAGATAGTCTTAAAAAAATGTAACCGCGTACTTTAAGATCCGAAATACTCGGTAGAATCCCAGGAAACCGATCATTTAAAATAATCTTTGTAATATGTTCTTGTTGTTTTCCCGTCAATTGATGATAGTAACTATTTAATACATCAATATATAATCTCGGTAATTTGATATTCTTTATTGCAGAACGTAAAGCCATGGTTAATTTGCTTTGTGGATTTGATAATTTGTTCATAGTAACACATTTGTCATCTTCGATCAACTGACTGATTAACTGTCGATATTGAAGAGAACGTAAAGCAATTCATTGAACATTTTTATCGAGAAAAAAAACTGTATCAGTTTTATTAATCAAATAATTAACTCGTTGAAATCGAGTTGAACGTTTTTTTAAAAAAATGGCATGCCTTTTTCATCGATGAATTTAGAAACATATTTAAATTACCTAACATACCTTTGGAAAGAAGTTTTGGAAATACATCGGAAATAAGATAATTTGCAAGAATATTGCATGTTTGTGGATGTGACGTTTATCAACAAAGGGAAAAGGATTTTTAGCGTTTGATGATTTTGGAAACAAATGTTTGTATTTTATCTTTTTGCTCTTTATTTGAATGATATCTTACACGTTGAAGTAAGAATATTCCATAATCAATAACAATTTGTAGAGTATCGGTAGTGTGTTCTAAATGCTTAATAGCGATTTCTATAATAGTTTCAGTTGATTCAATATTGTCTGGTAAAATTTCAAGTTGAAATCGATCATTAATTTCTGATAAATGAGATAGAAAATTTTCAATAATGAAAAGTTGTTCATTAGTAAAGCTTTTTTTAATCCACAGAAGAGCATTTTTCGTCATTTCTTCCCTTGTTGATATAGCACATTGAAGAAAAAGTTTCTAATTTTGTTCACGTTGATTTTTATCTGGACCAGTTCATTTAAATAAAAATAAAAATTGATCAAATATTTCTTTTGTCATTAATTAATAACGAATTAATGATAAACGCTGATTTCCTTGAATAAGTCCTTTTCGTTCATATTGAGAAATTAAATCACGAGAAAGTGTTGTTATTAAATCATGATATTCTTCTAATAATTTAACAGTACAGTCATGATCTTCTTCGAATAACTTTTTAATAAATAATTCTTTTCCAATACGTTGATGAATAACAATATCATATAACCATTTTCGTCGTCTTCGAATATCATTAAGCCTAGCAGGTTTATTGGTATCTATATCATTAAACCAAGATTTTCGCTTAGAACAAGTTAACATATATTCAACAAGACGACTTGTATGATGTGACGACCATTTACATGTATCGCATAAAGCAAAAAACAGATCAACATATTGATCAACAGAAAATGAACGAGGAAATGAAAATGAACAAAGATCGGAACCTTCACTAGACTAGATATTTTATTTTACCTAAAAGAAAATATTATTTTAGAAAAATAAATAAAAGAAAACAAAACCTAGTTCATTTGAAGCCACTACTATGACAACCATTACTGTTTGCTTAAGACCATATTAGCAAATGATAAGACTAAATAGAATATTTATATTAACTATAACTAATTAGCACAGTTAATGTGTTCTTTGATGTGTTATATATAAGAGTGAATAAAAAGTAATCTGTAGAAAAAAATGAATAAAATGGAGAAGAAAAGATAGATTTTATATATTTTCTCTCTTATACAAACATCAAAGGGAAGCTCTCAATCTACGCAAACGTTTTTGCTTCTAACCTAACTTCAAAACAGAAATTAGTTTAAATATATTCTGTTGACAGCCATTTAAATTGCTTTCACAGTACACATTAATTTAAATGAGTTCATATTTCCGAATTCATTTTGAATTGATTGCAAAAGAATGTCGGTCGTAATATCTGTGAAGAAAACAAGGAAATAACGTGTAGTCTCATGTCTGCGGTACGTGACGCTAACAGTCAATTCGTTAACCGTGGTTCTATTTTCTTCAATTGAATTACACTCACCAAACCCATTATTCTAAACATATGATATTTCTTCATAATTTTAGACCTTATTATTATTGTTTCCTTTTTCTGTTGGTAGTTTTAAATATTTAATTGATGGTGAGACGATTTATAAAGTTATTTGATTTTGAATTGATTGTAAAACATCTGAAAGGTAGAAAAGAATAATTCATTGAGTCGAAAATAATAGTATAAACATAAGGTATAACTAACTTACTGGATGATGAAACGGCTGTTGTATGAGTATTAGATGATAAAGAATCAAGAAAAAAAATGACATGAAAGGTGAAGTCCGCATAAGAACGGAAATCGGTCCACTAACAATAACCGCTCCAATCGGTCCAAACCTCATCAGAATCACATTCAATTATGATATTCGATGATTTCGAGCCTTCCGAGTGCTTTCAGTCGAATATATCGGACAGAATCCACTCGAAAAGGAGCGATGATTTAGCACCCACATTGTGACCGTAAAATCAACATTTCTCAGTAACCATCCTATATTAAGCCTAGCGCAATACATCATTCGATGCGCCTTGAAAAGATCTACAATATGTGTTAATAAGAAGCTTAACGAAGTGTCGCAGCATGTTTTACAAATTTAATACTAGACTTTTCCATCGGTCGTGGCTATACCACGGGAACTCTTATTAACACATGGGTTTGGTGGAAAACGCAGAAAAGGAAAACATCGAATAGGAAAACGTCGAAAAAAATCAGGAAAATGCCGAAGAGGAAAATGTCGAACTGGAAAATAGAGAAATTCAGGCTGTCGAATGGGGAAAATAGAAAAAAGGAAAAAGTAGAAAGGAAAATGTCGAAAATGAAACTGTTGT